TCCTCTTTCTTCCCTTCTTTGCCCCCCCCCCTCCAAGGTAGTCCACATGGAGAGAAGGGTCGCCACGCTTTGAGCCCCCCCTCCTCCACCCTCCTTGTATTTCGTAACGATGTGGATGCAGCAGTGTTGGGGGACCAGGTAAGACTATCTCTTGCCTATCTACATTGAAGCAGGGCACCCCAAAAGGGTTACATAGTATCCTTTTGGGGTGCTCTGCCTTCCTTTTGGAGGATACAGAATGCATAGAAGTGCCTTTCTCTCTCTTTCTTTCAGAGTTTAACTATCTATCTTTCCCTGTGTCTATCCTTTTGGGGTACCCTAACTATCTATCCTTTTGGGGTGCCTTATATATCTATCCTTTTGGGGTGCCCTGCCTTGCTTTTGGAGGATTCAGAATGAATAGAAGTGCATTTCTCTCTCTCTCTCTCTCTCTCTGTGTGTCTCTTTCTTTCAGAGTTTATCGATCTATCTTTCCATCTGTCTATCCTTTTGGGGTGCCCTATCTATCCTTTCGGGGTGCCCTATCTATCTATCTATCTATCTATCTATCTATCTATCTATCTATCCTTTTGGGGTGCTCTGCCTTCCTTTTGGAAGATTCAGAATGCATAGAAGTGCCTTTCTTTCTCTCTCTTTCTTTCAGAGTTTATCTATCTATCTTGCCATCTGTCTATCCTTTTGGGGTGCCCTATCTATCTATGCTTTCGGGGTGCCCTATCTATCTATCTATCTATCTATCTATCTATCTATCCTTTTGGGGTGCTCTGCCTTGCTTTTGGAGGATACAGAATGCATAGAAGTGACTCTCTTTCAGAGTTTATCTATCTATCTATCCACCTGTCTATCCTTTTGGGGTGCCCTATCTATCTATCTATCTATCTATCTATCTATCTATCCTTTTGGGGTGCTCTGCTTTGCTTTTGGAGGATTCAGATTGCATAGAAGTGCCTTTCTCTCTCTCTCTCTCTCTCTCTTTCTTTCAGAGTTTATCTATCTATCTTTCCACCTGTCTATCCTTTTGGGGTGCCCTATCTATCTATCTATCTATCTATCTATCTATCTATCTATCCTTTTGGGGTACCCTGCCTTCCTTTTGGGGCATTCTCTCTCTCTCTCTCTCTCTCTCTCTGTCTCTTTCTTTCAGAGTCTATCTATCTATCTATCTATCTATCTTTCCATCTGTCTGTCCTTTTGGGGTGCCTTATCTCTCTCTCTCTCTCTCTCTCTCTCTCTCTATCCTTTTGGGGTGCCCTGCCTTCCTTTTGGGGCATTCAAAATGCATAGAAGTGCCCTTCTCTCTCTCTCTCTCTTTCTTTCAGAGTTTATCTATCTATCTATCTTTCTATCTGTCTATCTTTTTGGGGTGCCCTATCTATCTATCTATCTATCTATCTATCTATCTATCTATCTATCCTTTTGGGGTGCCCTGCTTCAATTCAGAATGCATAGAAGGATTCAGAAAGCATAGAAGTGCCCTTCTCTCTCTCTCTTTCTTTCTTTCAGAGTTTATCTATCTAGCCATCTGTCTGTCCTTTTGGGGTGCCCTATCTATCTATCTATCTATCTATCTATCTATCTATCTATCTATCCTTTGGGGTGGTCTGCCTTCCTTTTGGAGGATTCAGAATGCATAGAAGTGCCTTTCTCTCTCTCTCTCTCTCTGTCTCTTTCTTTCAGAGTTTATCTATCTATCTTTCCACCTGCCTATCCTTTTGGGGTGCCGTATCTACCTACCTACCTACCTACCTACCTGTCTATCCTTTTGGGGTGCCCTGCCTTCCTTTCTCTCTTTCTCTCTCTTTCTTTCAGAGTTTATCTATCTATCTATCCATCTGTCTATCCCTTTGGGGTGCCCTATCTGTCTATCTATCTATCTATCTATCCATCCATCCATCCATCCATCCATCCATCCATCCATCCATCTATCTATCTATCTATCTATCTATCTATCTATCTATCTATCTATCTATCTATCCTTTTGGGGTGCTCTGCCTTCCTTTTGGAAGATTCAGAATGCATAGAAGTGCCTTTCTTTCTCTCTCTTTCTTTCAGAGTTTATCTATCTATCTTGCCATCTGTCTATCCTTTTTAGGTGCCCTATCTATCTATCTATCTATCTATCTATCTATTTACCTATCAATCAATCTATCTATCTTTCTTTCTATCTATCTATCCCTTTGGGGTGCCCTGCCTTCCTTTTGGGGCATTCAGATTGCATAGAAGTGCCTTTCTCTCTCTTCCTCTCTCTCTCTTTCTTTCTTTCATTCAGAGTTTATCTATCTATCTTTCCATGCAATACTAATATAAGAATAGCAATATAATAACAATATTATAATATAATACAATACTTCTACTAATACATTATTATATTAGTAGAAGTATTGTATTATATTACAATATTGTTATTATATTATTATTCTTATGTTATATTATTAGTAGGATTACATTATTATATTAGTAGAAGTATTGTGTTATATTATTGATTATATTAAAGTACTACTAATATAATATAAGAATAACAATATAATAATATAACACAATACTTCTACTAATATAATGATGTGATACTACTAATAATATAACATAAGAATAATAACAATATTATATTATAATATAATACTACGAATAATATAATAATGTAATACTAAGATGTTAATAATAATAATAATAATAATAATAATATTAATAATAATAATAATAATGGGAAGAGCCCGATATTCAAAGACGAATCCCAGATGCTTGGATCTAATATGCAATATGCAAATCTATAATAATAATAATAATAATAATAATAATAATAATAATAAGGGGCCCTTCATGTCCATTTTAGGAGGGCTTATTTTCTTTTTTTTGGGGGGGGGGGAGCTTCAGATCTGATAAAGTGGTGTAGTGTCTATTTTGGGGGTCTTTATTTGGGGGGGGGCTTACATTGAATAGGAGAATAAATGACTTTTGGGGGTTCCTTTTTTGGGGGGTGGGGGTGGTGGGGTGGGTGTCTCCGATCAAATAACAGTTGAACCTTTAGGAGGGGGCTATCTTTCCTGTCGTCAAATCTGGGATACATTGGACCGTTATAGGGCAAGTGATGGGAAAGCAAGAGTTAATATATCTTATGGTCTTTTTTCGGGGGGGGGAATGTAGTTTTGGGGTCAACACCCCCTTCCACATTGAATGTTTGTTTCCTTTTCTCAATCCAGATTTCCTCCTTTAGTTGTTGTTGTTGTTATCCATCCTGGATTTCCTTCCCTAATCGTTGTTGTTGTGGTTGTTGTTGTTGTTATTTGAGTTAATTTTTGGGGGGAGGGGATATAGTTTTGGGGTCAACCTTACCTCCCATATTTAACATATCTATATAGTTTTGGGGCCAACCTTTCCTCCCATATTTCACATATCTATCCTTTTCCATGCCTGATATTCTTCTCTGGTTATTGTTCTTATTGTCCGCTGCTTTGCGGGGTATGAGCCCTATTTGGAGGCTCCACACCCCACCCAAAACCCACTCCCTTCCTTTGAAAGGCTATACAGACCACCCCTCAATCCCATCCCGGAAGGAAAAGATGTCCCCAAAATCTTTTGGACCTTCAAACGGGGCATCCCAAAAGCATTGGGCTCCTCTATATGGGCCATTGGGGGCTCGTGCCTTTGTAGTTGCAAGCTTCCTCCCATTGAAACGTTCCCCAGTCTTATCTATTGGGTCAAAAGGATTGCGCAGTCCAAGCTTTATTATTATTTTTATTTGGGGAATGCGGATGTCTGTTGGTGTAGGTCCCATCATGCTTTGGACTAAGCGGGGCATCCCAAAGGCATCCCATTGGGGGCTAGTACCTTTGTAGTTGCAAGCTTCCCCAGTCTTATCTTTTGGGGTCAAAAGGATTGTGCAGCCCACATTTTATTATGTTTTATTTGGGGAATGTGGATGTCTGTTGGTATCAGTCCCATCATGCTGGCATGCTTTGGACTAAGCGGGGCATCCCAAAAGCATCCCATTGGGGGCTCGTACCTTGTAGTTGCAAGCTTCCTCCCATTGAAACGTTCCCCAGTCTTATCTATTGGGGTCAAAAGAATTGTGCAGTCCAAGCTTTATTATTTTTTATTTGGAGGATGTGAATGTCTGTTGGTGTTGGTCCCATCATGTTGACATGCTTTGGACTAAGCGGGGCATCCCAAAAGTATCCCATTGGGGGCTCATACCTTTGTAGTTGCAAGCTTCCCCAGTCTTTATCTTTTGGGGTCAAAAGGATTGTGCAGTCCACGCTTTATTATTATTTATTTGGGGGATGTGGATGTCGGTTGGTGTCGGTCCCATCATCCAGGCATGTTTTGGACTAAGCGGGGCACCCCAAAAGCATCCCATTGGGGGCTCGTACCTTTGAGTTGCAAGATTCCCCAGTCTTATCTTTTGGGGTCAAAAGAATTGCACAGTCTAAGCTTTATTATTTTTTATTTGGAGGATGTGGATGTCTGTTGGTGTCGGTCCCATCATGTTGACATGCTTTGGACCTAGCGGGGCATCCCAAAAGCATCCCATTGGGGGCTCGTACCTTTGAGTTGAAAGCTTCCCCAGTCTTATCTTTTGGGGTCAAAAGGATTGCGCAGTCCACGCTTTATTATTATTTATTTGGGGGATGTGGATGTCTGTTGGTGTTGGTCCCATCATGCTCACACACTTTGGACTAAGCGGGGCACCCCAAAAGCATCCCATTGGGGGCTCGTACCTTTGTAGTTGTAAGCTTCCCCAGTCTTTATCTTTTGGGGTCAAAAGGATTGTGCAGTCTAAGCTTTATTATTTTTTATTTGGGGGATGTGGATGTCTGTTGGTGTCGGTCCCATCATCCTGGCATGTTTTGGACTAAGCGGGGCATCCCAAAGGCATCCCATTGGGGGCTCGTAACTTTGTAGTTGCAAGCTTCCCCAGTCTTATCTATTGGGGTCAAAAGAATTGCGCAGTCCAAGCTTTATTTTTTATTTTGGGGATGTGGATGTCTGTTGGTGTCGGTCCCATCATCCTGGCATGTTTTGGACTAAGCGGGGCACCCCAAAAGCATCCCATTGGGGGCTCGTACCTTTGTAGTTGCAAGCTTCCCCAATCTTATCTTTTGGGGTCAAAAGGATTGTGCAGTCCACGCTTTATTATTATT